GTACGGTGGGGGCCGGCGTTAGAGAATAAAAGTCGTCCCGTCCTCGATGCTGCCCCTTCCATTTTTTCCCCCCCTGTCACAGCGCTGCCTACAGAGAGGAAACCAAGGTCGACCTGGCAATTCTTCTACCAGCCTTTTGTTATTCTTCTTTATGTGCACTCGGGGTAGTGCTAGCTCTAGAGCCGTAACAGAAGTGCCAGCTCCACCTGCGGTCCGGGCTGCATTATGTATCGTGAACCATAGTTGCCCTGCAGTTTGAATCCAGATTTTCAGCCGCTGCATGTACAGCTTCTCTGCAGCTTCATTCAGATCCACTGGCCTAAACAAATGCAGACAGGGATTATACAGATGTGTGAATATGCGAGTCCACATGCTGGCATCGTGAGTCACATTCATGTATGTATGAGCATTCTGGCGTTCGTTAACACACACACACACACACACACACACAGAATCCCGCGCATGGATTAAGTTGGCATTTTCCTCAGCTGGACCCTGATGAGAATTGGAGCCTGCTTTTGTGAATGTCCATTGTTTACTACTATTTCCCTATTTGCGTGTTCCCATGACACTGATCGTTTGTGAAAGGTAAACCTCAGCCCCAGCCTCTGCGACAATGTCTCATGTCAGAGTGGATAATAGACTGCAATGCATCATGGGAAAAACCCCCGGGGTCCTGGGTTTTATATTTATTTTTAAAGCTGCAACCAGATTCTTCTTTTTTTTTCTTCTCCTTCCTTTCAAATAGAGTAATTTCATGGCTCATTCCTGGGGTTAAAACTGGGTCTGTTGGAGTGGAAGAGTTGCAAATAGCCCCTTGCTTTACCCCCAACATGCTATAGGACCAACAAATCAGGATCAGCGATAAACGCACCAGTTGGCAGCATTGGTCTGTTCAATGCTATATTTAGGACTCCAGGTTTAATGTGTTATACAGGCATGAAATCGCTGCATGATGAAGTTTCACCCCCTTGAAGATTACAGAGGAATGAGGGTGACTGTGATTTTTTTTTCTATCCTCTTTTATATAAAACTTGGACTGCAAATAGAAATTTTTATCTCTGAGCTGAATGAGAGGTGCTCGGTGGGGAGGGAGTTGATGCCAATATCATGCTTCTAAAATACACCGTGGCACCCTCTCTGTGATGCCCGAAATAAGGTGGATTAAGCAGACCACTTGCCTCATCCTCCATGCGAGCGGATGAAGCAAACACACACAGACACACACGCACGTACACACACACAGGCAGCCTAAAGTTGATGCCAAGGTTATGCAAAAATCAAACTTCTGCAAAAAGCCTACAGAGCAAAATGGTCCACACGGGCTAATTTAGACGCTCTCTTTTTTAAGTCAAATGAGTAATGTTCGGTGATGCCATGTTAATCTACTGTGGGATTTGGCTTGGAACGACCTTCCAGGGTGCCGTACCTAACAGCTTAATTACCTTTTCAAAAGGGAATACCTCTGAGATTTAGCAGCCACTCTGCACGGCAGATATGCTGCTCAGTCAAGAGGAGGTGATATGAGGTTACACTTCACTGGGCTGAGTCGTATTGACCTACCTACCCTCTGCACTCTCGCACGTACACACACACTAACACACACACACAAACACAAACACCTGTCTGACACTTTGCCCTTGGTTTTGGTACCAACAGGCCTCTTCCTCTGCCTTTTTTCGTCCTCATGTGAGGCTGAAAATTCCTCAGCTTTTATAAACGCCGTCACTGTGTATCTTCTTTTTCATTATTTTACTGCAACTCGGGCCACGCATGCATGCTTTTCCTCTTTTCATCCTGCCCCCTGCCATCCCGCTCTCCATCATCCCTTGTCTTCTCACCCCTCCCTCGACTGGAGGTGATAAAAGTAACCAGCAAGGGCAGCGAGAGATAATACAACACCAGATAATGACAAATAGGACAGTGGAGATTTGGCAGTCGTCCAGGCTGATCAAATGCACGCTGAGACAGACAAGGAAAGGTGACGGATAAACCCGCCTGCTGAATGGTAAGGACGGTAAGATCTAAAGAGATTTACCACAGCTACAATATACTAAAAGTTAATTTCCTTAAAGCTTTGTGTCCCTAACAGCAACCTGCAGGCGCATATGGTGCAATGTCATTTTAAAAGGGACATCACTTGTAAGGTATGGATATTTAATAGTCTCTGGCTGATTTTAAATTCTCCGTGGTATCCTGTGCCAGGAGGTTAAGCCAACCAAGTCCATTAAAGTTTGCGAAATGAGCGCTTTGTCTTCATTTTATGACCGCTGGAGGTGGTGAGGTCTGGCGACGTGGCAAAGATTGAGATTCCAATGAGGATGGAAGTTGTGATCCTGGACTTCCTCGTGTTAAAAGTGATGTCTATAAAGTGTAGCGCCTCTGACTAATAACTGGAAAGCTTTGTCTTTAACAGCTTGTGAAATTAAGTTGTTTCGTGGTCTATTAACGCGTCTCCCCGCCTCTCCCCCAGAGCTCCGTTACCTTGATACAGTTTGATCGCTTTGCATGGATCTAGCGCTAATTTACAGCGAGGCTCTCCCCCCCCTTCTCTCTCACTCGCGTCTTGTCTCGCTCTCGCTTTTGCGCTTCCTCTTGTCTCTTTCTGTGAGATTGGCAGGTCTTTAGGGTTGCAAGGCGCTTAGCTTCCCGTGTTCCTTCCTCCTGTCTCCTCCCACTCAGTCTGACTGGCAGTAATTACATCAGCGTTGGGTCTGGTTTGTCCCGACGACCCCGTGGACCTGACAAAGAGAAACACGGGAGAGCGAGAAGGGGGGGAAAAAAAAAAAAGATGGGAAACAAGAAAAGATATCGCATAAGAAGACACAAAAGTGGCAGCGTACAGAAATGAAGAAAGCAGGAGTGAAGCGCAAGACAAGAGTACAGAGAGAGAAAGCATTATATAGAGGGAGAGAGGCAGAAAAGGTTACACATCAGTGATTCCTGACAGGCCTTTCTTCTTTTTCATCTCCACCCTCTTTTTCATTCCTTCATCATGGCCGTGTGAACTCTGTATTCACCGCTGCTCACCTGAACACGCTTCCAGGTTGAGAAAAAGTGTTTCTGTTTTTACTTCTCCACTCCTCTCAGCTGCAACCAGGTGTTTTCCCCCAAAACTCAGCTGTCATACTGCAGGTTTCAGTGGTCTGATGAGCAATGCTAAAATGGGGATGGAAGGTTTGTTTTTGCTTGTTAGTGGAAGCTTTGTTTTTTTTACATTGAAAGGTTGAATCTGTGTTGTGTTTTCACAAGGACGTTGCATGATCATGGGTCCAGGAATCACATCAGGATAGCTAAATAATAAACAGACAAACGGCCAACAAATTGATGAACACATTAAAAAGATCATTCAAATTCAATTCAGGCCAGTTTTAAAACTCGTCTCCATGGAGGAGGGACGACAAGAAATTAAGAAGTCCTTCATGGGAGATGAAATGAGACTTTTTTTTTTCCGCAAAGAATGCTCTGACATTGTTCTCTTGTAAAGAGACTTTCTCGTATTAAAAAGTAATGAATGCTACATTTATAATGTCTTGTTCCACTTTTGGCTCTATCATCAGCAATTCTGTCTCTGTGTCACCGACTGCGTTTACAAGCACAGACAAAACTATGGAATTTAAGAACAAGTCCAATTACACATATTTGAAGGATTGGAGAAGGCTTTAGATGCACTGCAACACTGCGTTTACTTGCCGATTGTACGCCGATTTCCTTGTTATTACATTTAACGCAATTTTTTGAATTGGCTCGAGTCTGCTGTGCGGTTCTAAGTTAATTATTATAGTTTCAGTCTTGGTTACATTTAATTATTTTAACCACTGAAGTAATCTTTCCATTCTCCCTCCTTCCCCACAGTACCTCGCCCTGTCTGAAGACACATGCTTATATCAGAGACCTGGTTAAGTTATACATAATTTACCAAATTCTTTCTTTGGCAGAATGTTGAGCAGGATTCCCTTAAAGGTAGAGTCTGTGATTCAGGACAAAGATCGTTGCTGTTTAGCTGTTTAGCAGATTTAAAGTCCCTCTTGCTCCCACTGTAAAAACATGCACAGGACACACTGGAATAGTGTTGTGTGGATTGGTCCGAGCCAGTTTGTTTGTTTGTACAGACCCAGGGATGAATATGTATTATTTTTCAGTCCCCACACACACAAGCTACCAGAGTGTGGTGCGACGTGTGCTTTATTTGAACAAAAAAAAAGTAGATTGGATTCAAATCCTGTATCACATCTTTAACTCCAAATGAAGGAGCTTCTTGTTCCATTGCACTTTAAAAAAATTATGTTGGCGCAGAACTGTCTCTGTCCTCTTTTATTATTTGCACCACATCATATTAAATTAGTACTTAGATAGGGAGCAATGACTGCACGTCTACCCTTGGAAGTAAATCCCCCCCGATGCAGATGACCAACTGCAGCACAGCAGCCGATTCGACTGGATGCGAACTGCAGAAGATGCCCTGTGGCTCTCACAGAACTGTACTCTGACCCTGCATTGACAACTTGTCTGCTTTGCTGTCGCATGGCTAAAACGGTTAGCCGTGTGACAGGACGGGAAGAGGAAGGATGGCCGGAGAACGGGAAGAAGAAGGGGTGGAAAAAAAAAAAATCAAATATTCATGATGCAGGATTTAAATAATCAAGGACTAATCTGGCAGGAGAGACACAGTTCCAAAAAAATCACGCGCTGTCTCTGTGAATGTGCACTCAGTATAATTGGAGATCACAGCGGAGTAGCACCGATGCCCACCACCATCACTGAAGCAGCCATCTGTTTGTAGCTGTACTGGAGTCAGTACACAAAGCATGTAATCTGGAGTGAATGCAGCCTGTTAAGCTCTTAGAGGATTATCAATCATTTATTTTATAGTTTGTTTTTTGGTTTTTTTTTGGTGCTCCTGTTGCTCAGGTCATCGACTTTATGAAAACCCAGTCATACAAAGACACAAAGTGAGCCTCTGTTTTCTCATCTCATCTTCTTCCTTTCTCTCCTCTCAGCGGCATCCAGCTTCAGTTTCTGCCGTGCCTCCCTGGAGCACACGGTGTCTGCTGAGGAGCTGAGCTACCAGCTGCCGCGTCGCGCCGGAGGCAGCAACCTGACCTGGCACGACGGCCGCGGCCAGAAGACAGCGCACACACGCACTGTCAAACTATTGCAGCAGCCCGGCACTGAGGGCATCCAGGTATAAAGACATCCACACAAACAGACCAGAGGCCATTTGGAGGAGTGTTTTCAGTGCATGGGAATGATTTTCTGTTGTGTTTTCGCTTGCAAAAAATGAGTTGAATAAACAAGGAACAGCTTAAAATTGGACAATTCGGACAGTTGCAAACATGGAAAGAGAAATCATCTGTCACTGACTTGTCAGTTTTTTGAAAACAAACCAAAAAAGCCCGCTCCAGTGCCAATCACAGCAGCTTAGTTAAAAGAAAGATGGTGTGTTTTTGCCAAATTCTGTAAAGAAGCTTATAAGAGTTCCCTTTTTCTTCACACTTCGCAGTAGCTTGGAGCCAATTCAACTAATTCCAAGTTAAAGTTTAGCCTATATTTACCAGTTTATGGCATAATTTTCCAGTTCTAACTAGTAAATATTTTTTTGGCTATGAAAGAAAAGAAATAAATTGCATTTTAATACAGAAACGTTCTCTTTCTTTAGAGATAAAACCACTCATGCCAATTAACATCATTTGGTGCATAACATGCAGAAACACAACAGTTCCCTTATGTGTGATTTTGTATCAGATTCCATCACAGTAAAATATTTCTGTGAAGTAAAATGACTTTTTTTTTTTTGTTAAAGTTGCTCAGTAAATAAAAAAAAAACATGAGTTTTGGCTGCAGTTTAATATCATCACAAAGTAAGGTACTTCACAAAAGTTGTTTATTTTTAAATCGGCAGAGTGATGCTGCGAAGCTCTCTCGAATACTCAGGCAGGGAAAGAACCGAACATAGTCTGTGTCACATAATATGTTATCGCCAGAGAGACATGAGAGAACATGCTTCAGCTTCGTCTCTAGAAGTCAACTCTCAGCGGTAACAGGACATGTAATGGTTTTTCTTGTAGCCTATAAAACATCTGCTGGTTTCACCTGAGCGTGTGGTAGATGCCACCAGAGAGAAACTGGTTATGTAATGGAGAAGCGGTGCGAGAACTGTTATCTAACTGCGCTTGTGCAGTCCAAGCGAGCTCACGCCGGGCAGAAAATAGACTCAGAAGTTTACAGTTAATAATATGTGACCTACAGTATATGTCTAAAAACTCCACAGATGCGTGCTTTTCCTCGAAGCTCATGAACAGCTTTCGGGAACTGAATGGTAAAAACGCTAGATAAGACATTTCAGTGCTGGTTGGTGGGTGAGGAATGTCTGTTTGGTGGTCTCGGCAGTAAGCATACGTAGCATCGTTTGCTTCCACACATCGCTTTGTGCAAAATGGAGTCCCATCTGTGCAGCATCGTAGAGAAGCAAAACAAAGAGGGAAAAAAAATCTATTTTAAGGCATTCCGCCTGTGTTTGACCTAAAACAGCATATGACACAACAGCCTTCTTCCTTTCTTCACCAATGAAAGAGTCCAGATAGCCTAGCCGAGGTCACTTGTGTCTTCTCCCCGCTGCTTTTAAGAAAGTTTGCATCTGTGAGGCTGTAGGATGTACATATGCACTGCAAAATTTGTTCAATAATTCATAAAAGAGTGCCCCCTCAGCTATAACAGCTATAAAAGGCTTAATAAAAGACGAGTGGGAAGCTGTTTCCATGTGATTACACAGACACTGGATAATTAAACCTCCTCTATACCATGAGAAGCAAGCCTTATCATTTCCTTGTGGCAACAAGCCTCTTTATGCATTATTCAACAAATGTGAGAGAAGTCCAGCTCTCTCTGTGGTGTGTGTGTGTGCATTCACAGAACGATTCTATTCTTGCATCTGTAAAATTCAGTGTTTCAGTATATGGGAGTGTGTATATGCGCTTATGTGTGGATTGTTATTTGTGCGTCCACTCCTCTCAGGAGTGATGATTAGATTATTCTCCATTACACTGGTTGTGCACACATCAGCTGTAATGAGGGAGCCAGTTAAGTGAAACATAGCTCAGCTTCTGTATATAAGGTGGGACCTGGGGAATCTTCCCTATCTGTTTAACAAAGCTGATACAACACATTACGCTCTGCTGTGCAAACTCTCAGTCAGAGGAGACAGGAAGTAGTGACGGCAGAGAGGAAGGAGAGAAACCTTAGATAAGGCTGAAGACCGTGTATATCACGGCCATCTTGAGTTTCTAATGACTCCTGTAACTCTGCTGGGTGAAAAATATACATGCAGCAATTCTAGTATTTGGTGAAATGTCTACTTTTCACCTCAGCTAGGTGCTTTTTCTAGCTATCCACAAGCTTAGACCAAGTTTCTGGTTGTATTTCTGATCATTCCTCTTGACAGAATTGGTGCAGTTCAACTAAATTTGTGGTTTTTATGACCCACACTTGTTTTTTCAGCACAGGTTCTTGATGGAGTTAAGGTCAGAACTTAGGGGAGGTCAGTCTAAAACCTTAATTGTAGCCTGATTTTAACACTTTTGATGTGTAGATGTCAAATATGTATTTTTTTTTCATCGTGCTATGATGCTCCATGGTCCCACTTTCAACAACATTTCTGGAAAAGAACCTGTGTATTTAAAGGAAGATGACTAAAAGGTAGAGAAAGGTACACTTAAAACAAGTTAGTGCATTTTAAACACACGTCACCACCAGCAGTTGCTTCAGTGCAGCATGATTAGTATATACAATTCATTTGTGTCGTTACACTGCTGCAGCTGGACCTATATGGATGTGCTACCAGGATTTTTCAAAAATAATGAATTTTTGTGTATTGGCGCACCTTCTGTGCCATCCTTGAATTGACTGTTTGCAGTTTGGATGGCCAGATGGGGTGAAGGGAGGGGTTTGTGGGTGGCTCATTTTGCCGTCTGACACACAGCTTGTGGGTGAACCTTTAGATGAGACAGGGGAATAGGTAGAATAACAGAGACACAATTTAGGAAGTAACAGCAGCTACCCTGCCTCCTTTTTTTTTTTTTTTCTTCCCAAAGCAGGACCAAGGCTGTTATAGGAGGTGAAGCGCTTTCTCACTAATTTGCCATGCTGGGTGGGCGAATGAAAAAGACCAGTCTGTGATTATTTTCCCCTCCTCATTACAGAACACGGTGGCTGACCTTCTGCACTGACGGAAACACAAAGGGGCGAACTAAAGAAAGAAAACACACAAACGTAGTACACAGAACTCACAAACTTTGACCACTTCTTGTAAGGACATGAATGCGATAGACTGTACGCTTTTAGTGTGGTCGTCTCCAGTCAAACTCATTATTTTCGTCACCACAATACTATAGTTTTATTTTCATCACACACTACTGTCATATTCACCAACATGCATATATCTAGTTAAAGTACTGGCAGTTCCGTATGCTGTCCCATAATTTAAAAAATGACCTTTGCTGTTAATTAAATAAGTAAATAAGTAAAGTAAAAGAAAGGAGTGAAAAAAAAGGATATTTCCCATATTTTAATGGTGACACTGTAGTTAAAAACGGGAAAAGTTCTATTTTTAATAGTGTAACTATCATTTCAAAAAAATCCTTTTTAATGCTATGCCAACAGTAAAAACTGGGCATTTTCCTGTAATTTAATAAGAAATCTAAAAATAAATAAATAAATAAAATGTATGTTTAGTATTTACAGTAAAAACAGGAAATTGTCTGTTTTTTAACAGTGTAAAAATTGGAACAGATTTTTCCTGAGACTTAAAAATAAATACATTTCCTGTTGTTGTAGGGTTCACCCACTATAAATAAAAAGCCAATTCTCTACTTCCAGCATTAAAAAAGATTTTTTTTTCTGTTAGTTAATGATGTTTCTACAGGGATGAAAATGCTTCACAAAAATCTCAAATAAATCTTTTATAAAAACAGATTTTTTAAACTTGCGTATCATTTCAGTAAAAGTGCTGACCTATAATATAAGGGCAAGGTTTTATTTGTTTGTCTTTTTAATCTCAAAAGTTTTCCAAGTTAATTCATTAATTTTTTTCTTTCAAACAAACATGAAAAAAGAATCAGAATCAGAAAAAGCTTTACACAAGGGATTTGCCTTGGTTACATGAAACACACAGTACTCATGAAGGGAGAGTAAAACAACAAGACAGCAACAGAGCTAGAAAGTAATAAATATAAAATCCCAATCTAAAGTCCTAAGCTTTTGCCATTTATTTACTACAAAACAAAAAACAGTGGTATTACATTTTGATAAATAAGATAAATTACAGTGTTAAAAGAATTATACATAGATTAAACTACAATTACATCCACTGAAAATAATGCTAAATGGAAATACACTTTTGAATCAGGCACTGTTGACAACTTTAGGGAAAATATACATCATACAGGTGTTTCTTAGAGCACTGATTATCATCGTGTGTACAAATGTTGACCTGTGATAAGACAATCTACTTCAGTATCTGTAGGCTGCATGTGCTGTGTCTGCTTTTTAGGCATGATGGTGGCATGGTTGCCAATGTTGGTTTGTCTGTTGTTCCCTCAGCCCCTTGGGTTCAGGTGAATTGCCACGGATCATTTCACAGATATTTACAGTCGTCAGGGTGTCAGTCTTATAGACTTTTGTAACCTGCAAAAATACTGAAAGGCTAATTAGTTAACCTGCTGGGAAAATAGCAAACAGAGATGATGGACATTTTGCTTATTTCTTATGCTTGTCATCAACATGTAAAAGCCTCACCTTGATGTCCATTGACTGTTCATCTGTGGCGATGATGCAGCGGACGCTCGCGGTTTAAAAGACACAGAAACAGAGGGAGAGGAAATAAGAGAGCTGCTGGGCAGTGAGGCCGAAATGCTTCGCTGTGTCCTGCCCTTGTCCTGCCACTCAGCGATGTGCCGCTCCGTCCAAGACACATGTTTGACTTGTGCTAAATAGAGAGCTTTGTGAAAATCCCATCTGGCCCTTTGTCCACCCACTCGGAGACTGTTCATATTTGCATGAGTGCATAGCATTTACACACTCAGAGACAACCAAAGGCGGAGTTGCACGAAACATGACGGAGGTTGACAGTTCACACACACACACACACACACACACACACACACACACACACACACACACACACACAGT